AAAAATACTCTGATGATGCCCTCCACATGAGTACACCAGTTTTTGATCCATTTATTTTTTGGAATAAACCTGGAGTACACAGCTGCTGATGTAATGTTCATTCTTAATGCATAGTTTTCAAACATTTACCCTTGAAACATTATACTTTTGAGTTTCAGAATTCTTGATTATCAATATTAGTCAAAATAGAAAAATGGGTTCCGATGATGAACGTTTACGGAACCCAACATCAGTTATTGTGGTTTCCCCTTGGGTAATCCGACGGAACCGACAACCGGTTACCATGAATTTCCGAAATCCTCAGGCCTGCTCCTGAATTATTTAAATTTTTGCAGCATTTGTTTATAATTGTATGTATATGTTGTTTGTGTTATTATCATATGCAATTGAATAAGTAGACCATTTCGGAATTCGAAATTTGGGACTCTCTCAATGCATAATGGGACTCATACTTTTCTGATCAGTGAGTCCCTGGGACTCGCTGCAGGTAAACTGTAAAATGATCACTGAGAGATTACCGCTTTTTCTGCAGTCAGTGATTGACTTCTATGCAAAGTCATTTCTCAACTTGTGTTCCGTGCCATGTCATGCCTGTTGAGTGTTGATTTACTTCATATTAAGAAACTACTGCACTAAAACATTAATTCATGAATGTATATCATATGATTTTATTTCTTTTTCTCAGTATAAATAACACGTACCCTGACTGTTCTACTCTTTGAATAAAATCACTTCATTCAAGCGTTAGGGAGTGCAAAGGGTTATGATGGAGGGGTGTTGCAAATCATGAGGACAGTTCTTGGTCCTTGGCCTTGGCCTCGGAAGCAAGTCCTTGGTCCTTGGCCTTGGCCTCGGAAAATTTTTCAAGTCCTTGGCCTTGGCCTTGCCTCGGAAAATTTTCCAAGTCCTTGGCCTTGGCCTCGGAGGCAAGTCCTTGGCCTTGGCCTCGGGTTGCCGGTCCTTGGACACATCCCTGCTGCCTGAGGGGAGAGGATGGAACAGGCAGTGCGCACAGTGGGTTTGCTCCCCAATGATGCAGAGGAGCCTTCTTTCTGAATCTGCTGGTGAAGATGTCTGTGGTTGTGGGAAGGCTGTTTCCCAACTACCTTCTGAGCAGCCTCAACCATCCATTGAAGAAAAAAAAAAAACCCTTCCACTTCCTTTCTTGCAGCCGAGCAGCTGTTTTGCCACACTGAGGTGCTTGTACTGAGGATGCTCTCCACCACACTTCAGCGGAAGTACCCCAAAACACAGCTCCCCAGTCCGGCACGTCACATTTTTCAGAGGAATTGGAGATTTTGGTGAGACTTCTTCAGCAGACAAGAAGTAATCCTGCTGCGGGTGAAGTCATTGGAATGCTGACCCCAAGGTACTTTGAAGCGGAGACCACTTCCACCGCTATGCCTCCAATGTGCAGAGGAAAGGGGGGGTGGGGTGACCTTCCTGAAGTTCACTACCAACTACTTGGTCTTCTTCACATTGAGGCAAAGATAGTTATTTGCACCAGTCCACCAGATCTCTACCTCCTCTTTGTTCTCTTACTCATGGTTGTCCATGAAACATCCCACTTTCGCTGTTTCGTACACAAACTTCATTTCTGACACCTGTGTAGTTTTACAGAGCAGTCATAGAGCCCTTTAGTACTTTAGTGGAGGAGTTCTTTTTCAGCCTACTTTGTACTTCTTTGCCTGACAGTTTCATGCAAAACAAAGCTTTGTTACGACAGTGAACCCTCACTATATCGCGCTTCATTTATCGCGGCTTCTGTACATCGCATTTTTTTTCAGAGTACTGTATTTGGAAAAAAAAATGCAGAATGACTCAGAGGTTTTGGATGTGCCTGCACGCATGATTGGTTCCCGGCGTGATGTCGACCAATGACAGGATGAGTGGATTTATCCCGTGAGTTGATTGAGCTTCCTTTTGGATGATTTTTCCCTCATATGGTTTCTTTCTGCCTTGCCAGATCTTTTCGTTATTTTTTAACAGTTCATCAGGTTGTGTGTGTGTGTGTCAGGGATGTGTTCCTCGAGCGTGTGTGTGTGTGTGTGTGTGTGTGTGTGTGTGTGCGCGCGCTGTCTATTGTGTTGTAGATGGGAGTGAGTGCTCCTGTCTTTAAAAGTATATCTTCAGAGACTTCCTGAGTGACCACTAACCATCGGCGCCAAGTTGAAAGATCCTCCATGGAGTGACAGAAATCGGTGGTGAATCTGACAGCAGTAGCTCGCTTGCTCTTGGCAAGTGTGGTTTAAGAATTTGTGCTTCCTTAGTTAGTAGATAGTTGTTCGTTCTTTTATTAGTGTTAGTGTGGCTGTTTCGTTTGCGTGCCAGCTTTTGCTGCCTTTTGCTGTTGACCCGTTATCCATCCATCCATCCATTTTCCGATCCGCTTTATCCTCACAAGGGTCGCGGGGGTGCTGGAGCTTATCCCAACCGTCTTCGGGCACTAGGCGGGGGACACCCTGAAGCGGTTGCCAGCACACTCGCAGGGCACACTTAGACAAACAACCATCCGCACTCACACTCACATCGAGGGACAATTTGGAGTGTTCAATCAGCCTGCCATGCATGTTTTTGGAACGTGGGAGGAAACTGGAGTACCCGGAGAAAACCCACGCAGACCCGGGGAGGAAACGCAAACTCCATACAGGAAGGCCGGAGCCGGGATCAAACCATTGCACTGTGAGGTTGACGCGCTAACCACTCATCACCGGGCCGCCCCTTTTTGTTTAATCCATTCTAAATAGCATTTTTGTACCTTTTTTCCTTTGGTCCATTTTTGTTATTTTAAACCTTGTTACTTTGCACCATGTTTTTTTTTTGTCTCAAAACCTTGGGGACCAAGAGTGATTTCCTTCTTTTTTATGCGATACACCTAACCCTACAGGAGTGTGTTTTTTGTGCGTGAGTGCAGGCGTATTTTGGATGTTTTTATTGCACATCATTTTGAGTTGCATTTCTATGCATGAAAAGTGCAACACAGATACAAATTGATTGATGAGGCTAAAAGTGGGATTGATGGATAGTGTATCAAGTGGTTTGGTGACATAAAAATGCTGCAATACCTGACGATTTTCATGTATTACATCTGAAAATTTGAAATTTGAGTAGATTTTAGCAAGAATCATGGAGGGTGAAGCATAAGATTTTTTTGGTGGGCAGGACGGATTTGGCCCCCAGAATTTTGACACCTGTGGGCGTCAGCAGTTTAGCATGACTCAGCCATCTTCTGTTAATTATCACTCATCCTCCTTTCATGAATTGTATCTTATTCGCCGCCATAGGGGCAATGTCAGTGATGTATTTATTTTTTTTACACTGAGGAATATGCAATGACATCATCAAGAAATATCTATACCATCTATTATTTACATTATGCACTTTTTAAGTTACTTCTTAGACTTCAGGAAAATTATGTGGTGCTCATTGTGCTATTGGCCAGTCGCCACTGCCGATAACAGCGAAAAATGTGAAAAGTCAATTCCAGATGCTTGTAATTAATTCATTGTTCTGTCAGATGACATACACATTAGTTTTATGGTACCTTATAAACTGTTGCTCCAGTCGCAGGCATCCTTTGTTTGTCGGTGACTTTCTGCACAAGAGAAAGAAAAGAAACAGTTTTACTATGTACTGTATTTTCGCCCCAAAATTAAGATCTACAAATAATGCAAATAAGAGTGTGCACAATACCTCAAAACATGTCATTAAAGCCACTCAATAAATACAGCGGTGCCTTGAGATGCAAGTGACGGAACCTAGGTTTTTTTGGTCAGTTTTGTATTTTTTAAAAAACTTTTACCTAACAACACAAACTTAAGATATGAGCGCTGTAAAATGGGGGGGAACAGGCAACAGTTTGGCAAATCATGATTGAACAATTTGTTAAAAAAAGGTTCAAGGTGCTAAATGTCACACCCAGCTGAAGTTTAATGCCAAATAAAATCAAACAAGCCAAAATTTCAGCAAGTTAGTCCTGGTTCCACTCGATTTGCTATGCCCAACCGTAGATGTAAGAGATCACACCTACTTCACACGTGTATGTGAGCTTGTCATTTGTTAGCGATGCTTATCTTAGCAATGTTTGTTTCAAATATGACTAATTAAGTCCGAAACTTTTTTTGGATTTATCCATAGATTATGTACTAGCAGTCGAATAGCTCAGTAAATCTTGGGAGCCAGGAATCGCGTGCCGGTGGCTGTGATGCATATTTTGAGGCGGCTCACAGAAAAATAAGTTTTATTTTAATCATAAAAAGATCATCTTAGATCACATTTAAATGTAGGAAATATTACCCAAGATTTGAAAGTAGTCAACTCACCTTCGACCTGAGCCTGGTCTGGAGGTCACCGGCAGCTTTTAGCTTGGACTTGTAGAGCATCCAGCGGTAACGAAGTTCTTCTAGACTCGTGTCCGCTGCTTGACCTGATCCACTCTTTTTAACGCCACTTCCCTGAAGCAAAAGTTGGAACTGCTCCTGACCCCATGTTACCCCTGACCTCAGGGCCTGCATCAAAAAAGTGAAACCAGTTCAAGGAAAAACAGCAGACAGGTCTTTGTTTTTCGGGTTTCAACCCAACATGTCAATGATCCCGGTTTATTTCATTTCCATTCTCCTCCATCTTTCTGTTGCCGTGCGTGACGGACTGAGAATGGGCTGGCAGCAAATTCCCGACAGAGGTGTTGGGAGACTGCCGAGATGGGTTTCACTGTCAATACTGCTGAACAGTTCATTTTAAGTCAATTAGCTCGCTAACTAACGATTCACATACACGTGTATGAGAGCAGCACATTTTATTTAAAAAAATAGCATTATTTCAATAATGGCTTGTGCAATATGTGTATCGCAAAAGCGTGCAATAGGTTTTATGAGGAATTGTATGCTTTTATCTGACCAATCAGATGCAACCTTAAATGTGCATTGTCAGCCCAACAGTGAACAGTATGTAGGAGCATTACTTCAAAACTAATAAAAATGCTATTAAAAAATTGTCTAATAATTATAATAATAATTTTTGTACAATTAGTTAGCTAAGAATACAAACATATACAGTGTCTCATTAAAGCCCAGATCAAAACAAAGTGAAACTGCGATTGTGGGTTTTAAATTATACGGTACATCTGAATTATTATACTATATTTTATTCTTGTTCAATTATTTGTTATTGGTATTTATTTTTTAAATGTCTGTTTTAAGGGGCCTTATTCAAAGAAGCTCAATTTTTTTGTGTGGGGATGGCGTAAATGTTATGAGGTATACCAGGTATATAATGAAGGCAAGTTTACCGTATTTTCCGCATTTATAAGGTATATCTAAAAGCATTTAATTTTCTCAAAAGCCAACAGTGTGCCCTATAAGCCAATGCCCCTAATATCAAGAGACTTTACATTCCCCATTGAGTTGTTTCCCTGTTCGTGTTCCTTTGCCATCTAATGGTGATTATTAGCATGAACCACTTGTAACCTAAAAGGGTTCTGCCTGACACTAATTGACATGTGCATTCGCCAACACACACTCAGACAACTATTTTGTGAGCTCTGCGCAGCCATTATGAAACAAAGATAAGACTAAAAGCACAGTTAACTCCAGACTAAACAAAGGAAGGAGACAAGCAAGACTGCTAAGGATATTTAGCCCCTTGTGGATGTAAGCCCACGAAACGTGTGTGCCTTTTTGTGGAATCAATTGTCTTCATAACTTTTGTCTTTCATTTATTGTTTTGTAATGCCATTTGTATTTTTTCATGTTGGCTACCCCTGACCTAGTGGATGCATAGTGCAACCACTATTTTCGCTTCTATCCGCCTTATAGTGGAGTGCACTCCATATATGAAAACAATTTTAAAGTAGGCCATTCATTGAAGGTGTGTCTTATAGTGCACAAAATACGAGTTTTAATTTTGATTTGCATTTGTTTTATTTATATGACATTTATTTTCAAGGCAAAGTATTTCTTGAGTTAAAAAGAATTCCTAACAATTAAATGTTCAAATTAAGAAAGCAAAAATAAAACGCTAATCATTTATTAATCAGCCCATTGTATACTGCAATGTTGAATGAAATGCGTTCCCAAACTCTGCTAATGAAGAATACTTCAAACCTTGGACAGAGATGTGTGACGAATGTGTGTTGGGTAGGCATATGCTGACACTGGTAACTCACGCTTAGTGTGTCCTGTTGCATCGTGAATTCTTTGCACTTGCGCGTTGCTCTCTTGGTGTTAAGGATCCCTGAAAGCAGTTCATTCTCTCTGCAGAGCCAGGCCTCAAACTCTCTTTTCTTGGACTGATATTGATCTGTATCCATCTGTGAAAACAAAACAACAAAAAAAAAAAAAATATATATATATATATATATATATATATCCATTAGTTTGAGTAATGAAAACAGGAACAAATATAGAAATAAAGTCAGGTGATTTAACAGCGTCGGCTCCTTCTGTGCCTTCACCGAGTCCAACCACACGATTTTCCAAGTCATCAATGTACTCCAACATAGCAACAGCTTGTTTTTCCAAAGTCTTTACTTTAGCCTGCTACATTCTGTTGTGCTCTCCACTGTAGCAATTCCATCATCCGCCTCACCAACACGAGTCTCTAGGACTTGAATTTGGGTTATCTGGTCTTTAATAGCGGCAATAACTGAATCAATTTTAGTATCAATACCCCTAGTGATGTTATCAGACAATATCTACTGCAGTCGGCCACATCACGTTAGCCTCTTCGTCTGAGTCACTTGTCAAACTCAAGGCCCGGGGCCATGATCCGGCCCGGCACATCATTTTATGTTGCCTGGGAAAGCAAATCATGTGTGTCAACTTCCATTATCCTTGCTAAAACCTGTACTGAAATGTCAAATTGTCATGTGGAATAAATAACGTCAAGATTTTGCAATAATTTTAATTTAATCATTAACACTCACTCAACAATAATTGAACAGAGACGAGCAATCATCTGCGCTCACACTCACACCTAGGGACAATTTAGAGTGTTCGATCAGCCTGCCATGCATGTCTTTGGAATGTGGGAGGAAACTAGAGTACCCGGAGAAAACCCACGCAGGCACAGGGAGAACATACAAACTGCACACAGGAAGCCCGGAGTTGGAATCGAACCCTGCATCTCTGCACTGTTAGGCGGACGTGCTAACCAGTCATGCACTGCTCCGCCCTTCTGTTTTATCAACTCGATATATTTTACTGTGGTTCTCAAATAGTGGGGCGTGCCCCCCACCCCCAAGTGAAATGGGGGGGGGGGTGAGATGCCAGGGGCGCGTGTGTGACTCTGGGGAACGTGTTTTTTTTTTTTTTTGCTGAAGAAAATAGAAGAAAGTGTAATTGCACATTCACTACAGTACTTGGCAGTGGCACCCTCATTGTCAGAGAGTGCGCAGGGAGTATTAGCTCTATGGTGTAGATTATATATTTGTTTGGGGTTTTTTTTGCACCGAGCAAGCATTATGAAGTGCAGCAAACAAAGCCTCGGGAGACCACATGATTTTTTGTTTGTTTGTTTTTTAACAGGGATGAAAAGAAAGGCGGAGAGAGATGAAGATAATGAGAGAAAAGAAAGCGACCCGAAAGCTAAGTCACGGAAACGTACCATTGTTCCTTGAGTTGATGTGCTGACTTGCTGATTGGCTGGATCATGTCTGAAAAGCATGAAAACCCCTCCACCTTGGCTCAGGCTCTCTTTCATCGTCATACCTCCTTCTTCTGGGCTCATTGTAGCCTCCTGATGACTGAGAACCATAGCTGCTCCTTCGCTAGCTGTGTTCATGGTATGACTGTCATGCCCTCTTGATATATCACTGTTAAGATTTGTATCCACTGGAGAGTCTTCGGCAAGAGGCTGCTGACCTGCTTGAGTGAGAACAGTCCCAACAGACAAATCATCGACATCTCCAACATAAGAACTGCGGCTGCCCATGCCTTTTCCTGATAATTTGAGATGCTCATCCTGTATTCCAGGCAGGATGAGTTGATTTTCAGTATGATCAGTGCATCCATTGTCCACTTCCTCAAAACTGATCTCTGTCTGGGTTGATAGTGTCTCATTTATGGAGCCATTCAGGAGCCTAGGAGACAAAAAACAAGATGTGAACATTCATGTCAACTTTCCTGTCAACCCGAGGCTTTAGGTAATCTTTCAACCAAGGCTTTAGGTAATCTTCCAAAAATTGACTTGCAAAAAGTGATCTTGCAACATTCATAACGTGTGCAATATCAACAAAATTAAATGCTTCTTTAAAAACAATTACGGCTATTTTGATGCTTTTATATTAAAATATAACCAGGAGCGATCAGAGGACATTTTACTTTTTTTCACCAACACACACAAATCCACAAGTTTCTGAGGAAATAGCTGGTGCGGCGGCTGTATTGAGCATGGAAACGCTGCCGGAAGAGGGTCGTGCTTGTCAAGCTATGTAAGCATGGATTTCGAACCAGCGCCAACAAAACCTTTGTACATTCTGCCATGCTCTGCTTCACCGAAACCTGGCTCAGCGACCGCCACCCGGATGCCGCGCTACACCTACCCGACTTCTGCCTCCTCCGAGCCGAAACAGGGAACATCAACAGGTGGTTGAATATGCTTCTATATCGAAGAATGGTGCACTGATGTCACGAAGTTCAACGCACACTGCAGCCCGAATTTGAAGTCCTGTTTTGAAACTGTAAGCCATTCTTACTCACCATGTGAGTGCTCCTCCTTCATACTCACCGGCATTGTCATCCTACCGCAAGCTAACGCGAACAGAGCGCGACAAACGCTGGCTGACCAAGTAAACAAAATCGAGCTAAAGCATCCAGAGTCACCCTTTATCATTTTGGATGATTTTAAGAGCACAACTTAACCATGAGCTTCCCAGATATAATTAGCACATTGATTGTTTCACCAAAGAAGGCAACATTCTGGACCATTGCTACATGACACATACCAATCTGTTTCCCACGGAGCATTGGGCTTTTTTGATCACTGTTTTATACACTTAATCCCTACTTTCAAGCACAGACTCAAATGTGTAAAACCGGTTATCAAGACTGTGAAGTGATGGACCAATGAAGCAAAGCAAGTACTACAAGAATGCTTGAACTGCACCGACTGGGGCTTCTTTGAAACTTCAACTGGCAGCCTGGACGAATACACAGATACTGAAACATCATAACATTTCTGTGAGGACACGTGTGAACCAACAAAGTCCTTCTGCTCCTTCAACAATCACAAGCCATGGATCACTGACAAACTCAGACAACTTAGAAAAGAGAACGAGGCTGCCTTTAGAAGTGGAGATAGGGCACTGTACAAACGTGCCCGAAATCAAATGAGAAAGGAAATTAACATTGCAATGAGAAGCTATGCAGAGAGTGAAGTGTCGGCCCCGAGCCAGACCCACGCCTCCTCCCGGAGGCAAGGGGCACACGGAGGCGTCTCGCCTTCTCCCGGGGATCGGCAGAGGGCAGGAGGGCCGACACTGAAGTTTCTTCGTTGAGCCGCAGACCAGGGGACGTACCAGATGTTTCTCTGAATTTGAGGCCGGAGTTAGTCGGAAACTAAGTACAAACTTAGTCAAGAGTCCAAGTTGCAGGCTGGTCACAAGCGAGTTTTATTCAATCAAAACTCGGAGAGGTACAGATGTGCACATCAGAGCTCTGAATTCTCCAGAGACAAGACACAGGTTTTATAGAGCTTTGTGGGGCCAACCTCTCTCCTGCTTGGCTCTCGACGAAGGCGGACGCTTTTGCTTTCTGCTCCTGTCTGCAGTTTCCTGATCTATCGCAAAATTCAACCGACGGGATCGACCGCAAATTTCACCCGACGGGAGCGGCTCGATTGGAAGTGAAGAGGCTGCCGGTCTAAGGATGGCATAGTGCGGATGTCCAACACTCAGACTCAGACTGTGCTGAACCATAAACTGTTGCGGTTTTGGAGCGTCACTGCAAGATGGTCAACAACTTGGAGAAACTGGAATCCGTGCTCAAATATGGAAAGAAATCACAGATTTGGCTGATCGACGCCACTTAAGAGACATAAGCCACGGACTCAAGGCTGTCTTAAATTGTTGGGCAGCCTGCTACCAAAACAACATCTGCTATCTCGACCTTCCCCTGATGAAAGTACGCAGGGAAGCTAGTCCCCCACCATCACCCCTTCCTTCTCGGCCATAGACTGATATGCCAGGACCTTGACGTACCAGCTGCGGCCTGACACGCACACACAACCAGACAATCACTCGCGCATACACTCCCTTGTATCACTGCCTTCATTGTTTATGTCTTGTGACCTGTTGTAACTGTCATATGCTTGTGCAGGAGTTTTTTGCCTAACTCAAATTATCCTCAAAATGAGGATAGTTCGAGCGTGTTTTTTTTTCTCCCCGTCTCCCTCCCTTGTGGTTTCTTTCTGACTTCCGGGTTGAGTGAACGTTGGCACGTTTGGCTGCCGCTGCTCAACCCGTATTGTTTTGTTTTTTGTTATTGTAAAGTGTCCTTGGGTGTCTTGAAAGGCGCTTATAAATAAAATGTATTATTATTATAACCCCTTTCATTTCATTGGCTGGTACCTAAGGACGCCCTTTACTCTTTGTCAATTCTAATGGTATCATGATGCGTTGTGTAATCCTGATTGGCTGTGATATTCTTTGTCAGATAGATTTTAATGGTATCCATAAACAGCTTCATATCTTGGTTCTGATTTATAATGGTATCACAATGGGCTTTATTTTTAAAATATAATAGAGGCCTCTACTGGGCCTTTGTGTGATTGCATACGAGTGTAGGTTTTCTGGACCCCCATAGGTTTGGCGACCTGATGATAATTATTGCAAAGCAGACAGCAGTCATCACGTGTATGTATTTCACCCTGCACATGCATTTTGCTAATCTAATGATCGACATTCTTGCTAATCTAAGCAAAACAGACAGCAGTCATTATTTGTATGTACTTTGCTCCTGCATATGCATTTTTGCTAATCTAATCAGAACAGACAGCAGTCATGACTTGTATGTACTTTGCTCCTTACTGTTCCAAGATGACCATTGTCGAGCAGCTAACAAGCATCATCTGTATGCATTTTGTTTTTTATTTGTGCACTGTTTGCCATGTTCATTGCTTTGCCTGACAACCATATGCCTGTCTTCTGCTCATTACGTTACGATATATTAGGTTATATATTTATCCATAAAACAGATATAAAACAGACACCACAAGAGGCTGAAAAAACAGTTTTCTGCTAACGACTCTGCATCTGTATGGAATGGCCTGAAGGCAGTTACAAACTACCGGACACCATCCCCATAAGCAGTGAATAATAAGGGACTGGCTGATGATCTAAACGTGTTTTTCTCAAGATTCGAAAAGGATACCTCCACTTCCCACACCTGCTCGTCCCCACCATAAATTACTTTATCCACACCCCAGACCCCATTCTCTGCCCTGGAGATGATCCACAAACAGGACGTGAGATGGCTCTTCAAGCAGCAGAAGATCAAGAAGACCACGGGGACAAAGTGCCCCCCCACCTGCCTAAAAGTCGGCGCTGACCAGCTGACACCGGTCTTCACACAGATCTTCAACAGATCCCTTCAGCTGTGTGGAGAGCCAATCCTGCTTCAAACAGTCCACCATCAGCCATGTCCCCAAGAAACCAGTAACATTGGAACCGAACGACTATAGGCCTGTTGCTCTGACGTCTGTGGTCATGAAATCCTTCTAACGCCTTGTGCTGAACCACCTAAAGAACATCTCCGGACCCCTGCTGGACCCTCTGCAGTTTGACTCCCGGGCTAAATGGTCTGTGGAGGACTCAGTCAGCTTTCCGACGGGACGGACACAACAGGTGAGGCTTGGGAGGACAACATCATCAACACGCACCATCAGCACCCAGTCCCCCAAGGATATGTTTTCTCCCCACTGCTCTTCTCGCTCTACACGAAGGACTGCACCTCAACACACCCAGTTGTCAAACTCACAAAGTTCACAGATGAACCCACAGTCATCGGCCTCATCAAAGACGGTGGCAAGTCTGCGTACCTGGTGAAACCGACACAACCTGGAGCTGAACACGCCCAAGACTGTAGAGATGATCGTAGACTTCAGGAAACATCCTTCCCCACAGCTGTCCTTCACACTATCCAACTACCCTGTGTCAACTGTCGAGACCTTCAAGTTCCTGGGAATCATAGTCTCTCAGGACATGACGTGGGAGGTCAACGTTAACTTGATGAGGAAGCACGGTGTGCCACAGAAGCTGTTGAGACAGTTCTGCACAGCAGTCATCGAATCAGTCCTGTGTTTCTCCATCACAGTTTGGTTTGGGGCTGCCACAAAAAAGGATCAAATCCAACTGCAACAGACAGTTAGGAGAGCGGAAAAAAAAAAAATCACTGCCACTGCCCTACCCACTCTTGGGGACTTGCACACCGCAAGAACCAAGACAAGGGGATGGAAAATCTTACTGGACCCCCCCACCCCTCCCCCCACACACACACACCCTGCCACCACCTTTTCGAGCTACTCCCTTCAGGTAAGCGCGATCGAACGATGACCACCAAAAACATCAGACATTCAAACAGCTTCTTCTGTCTCGCCATTAACTCCTGAAACAGTAACTCAATCTATCATGGCTCTTTGCAATTTTGCAGACCCCTGTGGAGCACCATTACCGCAATGATGATTATAGCTCCAGCTATGTACATACTTGAGCAATTGTCATTGAACTATATTCCACAGCACCAGACACTTTAAAGCGCTCAAGGACTCACTGTATAATTGCACACCCAAATTGTACTATAATTTCTGCTACTGATCACTTAAAAAAAGGTGCAACAATTATCTGCACCTGAACCTGAATGTTCTGATAAAATCTTCTTGAAGCAACTTCTCCATTTCCAGCCTCTGATTTCACACCTCAATTCAGCCTGAATTCAAACGAACATGCGGAGGACGGCGAAAGGATCCTGCCGCGACCACAACATCCTCTCCCTCCCGACCTCCAACACTTGTTATTGCATTACTGGTGTAGCCTATATTTTCGGAGACAAATTGCTTGTGTGTTCTACATACTTATAAAGATGA